AACTATTTATTGTATATACAGTATATATAAATTACACCCAAACCTTAAAATTTATAACCTAACCTATCTAAATCTACCCGTGCCCTGTAGTTTTTTTTTGTTATATAATGTTAGAGGACAGTCATACAAAGTGTGTGTGTGTGTGCATGTGTGTATGTGTGTGTATGTGTGTGTATAATTGTTTGTATGTGTGTGTATGTGTGTATATATGTGTATATATGTGTATATATGTTTGTATATGTGTATATATATATGTGTGTGTGTATATATATATGTACTGTATGTATTTATGTAAACTGCATATATATACACCTGTATGTTTGTTTGTTTGTTAAAAATAATTATAATTATTACTTAATATTACTATTGTCTTTAAAGGTTTATATATATATGTGTTATGAAATAAATAAAAAATATTATTTATTTTATTATTATTTTTGTTGAAATATATAAAACTTTATATCATTTATTATTATTATTTTTTTTTTGGTTGAAATCTCAATACTATTTTCACTACTATTATGTTGTTTCACGCATTTTCATGACTTATGTTTCAATGAATTGCTAATTAATTGATTGTTTGTGTTATAACTGACAGTAAAAAAACATAATAATAATAATAATAATAATAATACTTTAATATTAAATATCAAAAAAACAACAATAATTTAATACTTTTTTTAAAACTACTTGTTGTTTTAACAAACACACAAAAAAAATTTTTAAAAAATAATTTCAAATTATAATAATATTACGGGTTTTATGTAATAATCGGTGAAAATAAATTGTTTTGAATATTTAGTATAATTTGTTTTTTCAAATATATTTTATGGTATATTATATTATTATTATTTAAATTTCAATAATAATAATAATACATATCTTTTTTTTTGAAAAAAATGTTATGACTAATTTAATTTATTTTTTTTTAGTAATTATTACAATAGTATATATAAATTATATGTATATTTATTTAGTAATTAATTTGTATTTCAACACATTATGATATATTATAGATATATTATACAAATAATCTATTAGTTATATAATATAATTAAATTATTTTATGCCGTGTATTGAAATTTAATATATTGTTGTTATTGTTTATAATCAAACATTTATTATAATAGAAAATTAAATATATTTTTTTGTGTATTATTTATAAAATTTTTTTTATATATATTTATGTTTAGTCAGCAATTTTGTTGTGTTTTTTGTGTAGTTTATAATAATTTTTTTAATCATTTATTTATTTATTATTTTATTTTTGTTAAATATGTTGAAAACCAGCGCCCATTTAAATGCCTATTATTGGAGTAAATAATTATATATATATATATATATTTATAAACAAAAATATATTTTACAAATTAATAGTAATAATTATTTATTTATTTATTTAAGCAGAAAACTAACATAACATATAAGTGTCAAAAAAAATTGATTTTGATTTCAAAAAATTAGTTTAGGTTTTAATTGCCTCAAAGGGTTAACAAAAAAAATTATAAACACATATATAATATACTGTAATAATAATAATAATAATAATATCTAATAAATAATGGATAATTTTTTGGTGTTTTTTTCTATCAAAAAAATATATATGATATTTCCATTGATATTGAAATTACAATAATTTATTTATTTATTTATTTTATAATAATTATATTAAAGGGTTTTTTTGTTGATTAAAACATTTTTATTTTATGCTCTAAATTCATGAATTGTTTTATATATATAATATATACTGTATTATTATAGTTATATAATATAACAGTATATACAGTATATGTATAATGAACCCAATTTTGTATACCTTATACAGTATATACAATATTATACATATATGTATATAATATAATTTATATTTTATACATATATATATATGTAGGTCTCATAATATACAGTATATATATGTGTGTGTATATAATTTAGTTAATAAATTATATTTTATTAATATATATTTTTTTAAAAACTAAAACTAAAAATTTACATTTAATTTTTTGTTTCAATATATATATATATATATATATATATATATATATATAATAGGAATCACGAGTTTAATTAATTATTATTTTTGATAATTTTATGATAATTTAATATATGTATTATCTAATTAACAAATGTATAATAATGTATAATAATATATTACATGTACATATTAAATGCTAGTAATTATTATGTTTTTTTTAAATAAAATTTTAATTTATCAAAAAAATATTATTAGTATTTTTACACGCTATAAAATAATTTAACTATTGATTTATTATTATTATTATGTTTTAAATATATATATATATAGATTTTATTTTGTTACAAATTTTTGTATCAATAATAAAAAATAAACATAAGTTTTATTTATGTAGATATTTGTGTAAATAATAGTTTATATTTAATTTTATGTTTTTTATTATTATTATATGTTTGTTTGTATTTTTAGATTTATAAAGTATACTAAAAATTTTCTAGTATTTTACAACCAAATAATAAACAAACAAAAAATGATTGTAATATTTTATAGTAAATATATATATTAATAATATTTATTTTTTACAACAATTTATTATTTATTATTTAAATATTGACTTTTTATTTGCATTATTGTCTAAATTGTTTTGAATTTTACAAATATGGTCATCAAAAAAAAAAAAAAAGTTTAACATATATTTGTTAATTTTAACGAAAGTTTTTATTATTATTAAAAAATAGTACCGTTTTTCCCCTTTTTTATATAATAATAATAATAATTTTTGTATTATTTATTATAGTGTTTACTATTGTGTCTAACAATTAGTTAACAATTATACCGTAAATAAACATTTATTTTTTTTTAGAAAATAAATATATATTTTTTAAATTTATGAATTTTTATTATAATATTTATTTTATATAAACACATGTATTATTATTATTACTGTATTATATAATAATTTACAGGTATTACTAATAAATAGTTATGTTTTATGACCGACTTTTCCCATATAAAGCTCCGATACCTACGATATCATAACATTCCTGGAGATATCGTAAGAGGAGTTTAGGGAAAAAAATTATTATTATTTAAAAAACAAAAATATTTTAATAATTAGTAAATTTTTATTTTTGTTTATTTGTTTGTTTGGTATTAATTAAAAACAAATTTTTTGAATTATAATTAATATCTACTGTTATTATCGATTAGTATTTATATTGATAATTATAATTTTACATATATAGAAAGTTTTATCAAATTAAAATTCAAAAATTTTATTATTTTTTAAAAGTTTTTTATCGAAATAATTTGTTTTTTATGATTATTTGATAATTATTTAGACACAAAAAAATAAAAATTAAAATTAAGCGCTTATTTTGGGCAATAAAAACCAATTTTATATCTTTTTTAATAAAAATATGTTAATTATATGATATTATTATTAAATTATTGATTAATAACTTTAGTTATAAAATATATATTAATTAGTAAAACATAACATTTATTATAGTAATAATCACATGTTTTTTTCAAATAATATTATCTAATACTTGAAAAAAATTAATTGATATCTAACTATCGTTTTTGTGAATAAAATTTATATATAAAAAAAATAATTGTTGGATAGGATTCATAATTTGCTTCAATAATGATAATAATGTAAAACACATATACACTGTATATATAAATAAATTTAAAAAATAAAAATAAAATATTTAGCAATTTTCCAGCAAAACATATGTACACCAATACTATTAGTTATCTTATATATAATAATAATAATAATAATAAACTTTTAAATAAATATATTATTAATAGTAACACACGATTTCAAGCATTTTTAAGTTCAATTCAATTGGAAATTTTAAAATAAAATATAATAATAATTATAATAATAATAATAAAAACACTTTATTTTAAATGTCAATACAAATGGTATATTCGCTTAGTTAACAACTAATAATAATAATAATTATTATTATTACTGTATTATTATTCATAGCAATAGTTTTGATGATAATAATAATAATAATTATTATTATTACTTTCTATATATATATATAGAGTATATATAAAACATACATGAAATACACAATTAATACTATTTTTATGCCAAATAAGTAGTAATTTTTTTGTTTTTATTTTTGTTTGAATACAATTGTATATAAAAATTTATTTAAATATTATTTAATACTAATTATTATTATTAGTATTAATTTTTTTGGTGTTAATGAAAATTTTGTTAAAACATTATTATTATATTACTTTAAAAAATAATAATTTTTTATATATATTGATTGTTTTACGTATTGAGTGTAATATGTATTTAAAATTTTTATTTATTTATTATTTTTTTTGTTTTTTATAGTTTTTTAGTTTTATATGCAGATCACACACACAATCGTTTTGTTATTATTGTATTTAAATAATTATATCTTTATTTTGTATATATATTTATTATATTATTTATTATATTATTATTTTTTTTGTAAAGTCATGACTTGTTTTTATTGCCGATAAAAATCTTGTTTTATATAAAAATTATTTTTGATTTCATGTTTTAGATATAACTTTTAGATTTTTTTTATTTAAATAACTCTATATGTATTTGATTGGCTTTTTTAAAAACTATTGTGTGATTATTATTATTATTATTATTATTATTATTATCATACTAAAATAGTTTAAATAAATTTAAATTTATTTTTAAATTTAAATATATTTTAGTTATACATGTATAATATATAATTTTTTAAAATAAATTATATAATAATTAATATTTAATTTTTATAAATTATTATTAAATGATATCTAATTTTAATTTTATTTATTTATTTTTATCAAAAAAAAACAGATATATTATTAATTAATGGAAAAAATCGAAATCAACCTAAAATTAATTAATTAATTAATTATTAATTATTATTAATAATAATATAAAACATTATCAGATATTATATAATAATATATCAATAAAAAACATATTAAATACTATTTTAATTTAATATAATAATTGATTGATTGATATAAAAGTAAAAAAAAACATGTCATCAATAAAATCATTTTCATCGACCACTTCACTGAACGATACATCAAAATCGGCGGTAAAGCCGACATCATTGGCCACAAATGGCGGTAAAAATGGCGGATCAAACGGTTCATCAATGGCATCATTGAAACCCGTCGGTACTAATGGCAAACAGACAGCAATTGGCAGCAAAACAAATCTTAGCCGATCGGCGGCCAGCAGTACGGCATCGTTACACTCGTCCCGGTCATCATCAGCAGGCAGTGAATCGGTGGCCACACAGCGTACACAGTCGACCGTACGTACGGCTCCGTCGTCTATACGTCGATCACATTCATCCAATGAAGTCCTGACCGAAAATATCGATGATTTTGCTTGCGGCGATCGGGTATGGGTTAACGGCCAGCGACCCGGTCATATTAGATACCTGGGCGATACCCAGTTTGCACCGGGACAGTGGGCCGGTATTGAATTGGAGGCCGAAGAGGGCAAAAATGACGGCTCAGTTGGTGGTGTCCGGTATTTTGAGTGTCCGGCGAAATACGGTGTGTTTGTACGGCCGCAGCGTCTGACTCGACAGCTGATCGAAGATCCGCCAAAATCATCGGCGAAATCGTCGCCAACTAATGGCGCCGGCGGTAATAGTCCTAACAATGGACAGCAACCGTCGGTTCCCTCAGTGTTTGATAGGCTAAATGCTAGCTCAGGTAGCAGTGGATCGTCGAAAACCAATGGCAACAATACCAGTGGCGGCGGCGGGTCATCAAACAATGGCGCCGGCGGCGGCAGTCCCTATAATATTGGACGATACGACAATCAGCGGCTGGTTGTCGGCGATCGTGTACTGGTCAATGCTACGTCGGGTACGAAATTGGGAACGTTGATGTATTTGGGACCGGCCGATTTTGCACCGGGACGTTGGGCTGGTATTGAACTGGACGAAGCTATCGGTAAAAATGACGGATCAGTAGCCGGGAAACGATATTTTGAATGTCAACCGAAATACGGTTTGTTTGCACCGATGCATAAAATAGCGGCCGCACCGCTATCGGCGCTGAGAGTATCGAAAAAAGCGAAACGACCGGCAACTGGTGGCCTAACCCGACAACGATCGGGCGGTAGTCAAGAGTCGCTAATATCTGTAGCATCGTCTACAGCATCGTCAACCCGACCACCGCGTGTCCGACTGGGGGTCACATCCCTAACATCACCGCATCGATCGCCTACTAAACCATCGGCGGCCGTACAGCTATCGGCAGCGGCCAGTCTAGCCTTGACGGATGTTATCAAAGAAAAAGATGAACACATTTCCCAGTTGCTGAGGGAACGGGATCTCGAAAGAGGTGAAGTAGCCCGAGCTGCTACCCAAGCTGACCATTTGGATGAACGACTGAAATCCCTGCAATCCGATCACCAGAAGCTGGTCCAGGAAGCTGATGATGAAATTGCCGAATTGAAACGTTTGAATGCGGAATATGAGGAAATGCAGCTAAAAATGGGCGCCCAGTTAGATGATGAACGAAAAAAACTAGAAGATCTAGTGTTTAGGTACAGTGTATACTACTACCGGTGCTATCATGATATCATCCATCGATGATCGGATAGTATAGGGATCAGGCATTACTACATACAGTGTGCTGTATAGTATAGTGCCTGAGCTATACTATCCGATCGATGGATGATATGTGATGATAAGCACCGATAGTCTGATTATTAGTAGAAAGGATACTAATTGATGTTTTTTTTTATCTAATGGACGGTTAGGTTAGAGGAGGAGACTATATTACGAACAGAATTGGAGTCATCGACGGCTCAGATGCGCCAGGAGTTGGATAAACTAAAGTCGGAACAGTCGGTCCAGCGATCGGATGGCAGCGGCGAACTCATGAGCAATATTAAGGCCCGGGATGTCGAGGAACAGGTCGAACGATTGGCTGAGAAGCTCAAAGAGCTGGAAGATAGGAAAGAGGCGGAGGTGTTTGCCCTGCAGGAAGAGATGGTCAAAAAAGAGGAAACATGTATGCAATTGGAAGCGTCGATGGAGAAGCGTACCATTGAATTGGCTAACTGTCAGAAACGATTGGCCGAATTTGAACAGGAGTTGGACAGTACCCGACAGCGTACTGATAGGCAAATAGGTATAGAAGGAGAGAGAGGCTCTCTGAGTGGGGAACGGGATGTGAAACAAATTTGATTTCAATAGAGAGAGAGAGAGATCCCTATGATATTCAATGTGATGGTAGGGAATGGGATATCAATAGTAATAATAATAATAATCAAATAGTTTTGTTTTTAGTGGGGAACGGGATTATGATTTTTTTGAAATCAAATTTACTGTATATCTCTATGAACACTATTCAATGGGGGGGGGGGGGGGTTGTAGGAGGTATGGAATGCGATATCAATAATAATATAATAATAATAAATAGTTTTGATTTATATTGGGGAACGGGATCATTTTTTTTAAATAAATAAATATATATATATCTCTGTATGATATTCAATGGGATAGGGAATAGGATATCAATAATAATAATAATAATAACAAAATAGTTTTTATATTTAATTGGGGGGGGGAACGGGATGAGTTTTTTTAAATGATAGGGACTGGGGGTGGGTGGGATGGGATGTATTTATTTGATAACTGTCCTAATTTTAAATCTATTACTTAATATTTATTACATATATATATTATAGATTCAATAGATGAGCTAAATATGCGGATCAAAAAAGAGGAATCCCGTAAACAGGAGCTAACGGATGAAAATAAACAATTGAGGCAACAGTTAGGCGATTGCGAAAAACGGTTGCAAAACCTGGAGGATAAGCTCCGGGATGTACAGCAGGGTAAACAACAATTGGAGTCAGTGTTGGACAATAAGGATCAACAGGAACGTCAACTGGAGGACAGTCTGATGGAAACTAAATATAAATATGAAAAATTTGAAGGTATAGACCATTGAGTGGGAGAGTAGAGAGAGAGAGAGAGAGAGAGAGAGAGAGAGAGAGAGAGAGAGAGAGAGAGAGAGAGAGAGAGAGAGAGAGAGAGAGAGAGAGAGAGAGAGAGAGAGAGAGAGTATAGATACTTATAGTACAGATCTAATTGTGATTTATTTTTTTTGAAATAATTAAAATTTAGTTTTTATAAAATTAATAGTTTTATACAATTATTGTTTTATTAGTTTTTTTGTTGTTGAATGAATTAATTATTTTATAGATTGATTTTTTTTGTGATTGATTTAATATCTGTGATTATTATTATATATATATACTGTATTTATATAGTATTATAAAAATTTTGTGTATAATTTTTAGGATCTCACTTATATATCAATATTATTTATAACTTATTGTTATTATTATTATTATTATTAATTTAAATGTTATATGTATATTTGTTTATTTTAGCATAATTAATTAATTGGTAGATTTATTATTAATTTTTTTTTTGATGTTGTAGAAAATTATATTTTTTAAACTAAAAATTTAACATCAATTTAATATTTAATATTATTTATTCAAAAAAAAAATTATTGTTTTATTATAAAATTAATTTCTAATTATGCATGTAATGTATTTTTTTAAAACAAAAATTATTTTAACTGAATTAGTTTCAAATTTTTTTTTAACTAACAATATTTACTAATAATAATAAAATTTAATAAAAGTAATAAAACTATTAGTTTTTAAACACACTTTATTCAATTTAGATACAATAAAAAAAATAGTAGAAAATCAATATAAATAATTTATTATTATTATTATTATATAAAAACTTATATATATTTAGTTAGATTTTTTAATATTTAATTAACAAAATTTTATTCAACAACAAAAAATAAATAATTTATTTTTTATTAGTAAAACTTTACATAAATATTATATTGAAATTATTAAAAAAAAAATAATTAATTATTTTATTTTATTTTATTATTTAAAGCCGAAGTCCAATCACTTGAGCGGGAACTGACCAAAATCAAGGGCCAATACGATGAAGAGTGTCGGCGACGACAGGACACTGAGGACAAGTGTGCCGTATTGTCGGCAATGAACCGATCGTTGGACTTGAAATGCGAAGAACTGACCCGTACTTCGGGTACAAACTCGGATCTGCTGATGAAAGTCAATACCGAAGTTATGGACAAACAGCGGGAGTTTCAGGACAGGGAACGTAAGTGGAAACAGGAACTGGAGGCCCGTCGGCGGGAAAACGATACAAAAGTCGATGAGCTAAGGGTATTGGCCATTGAATTGGAAGATAAGAAGTCACTGTTGGAGAGGTCGGAGAAGCGTCAACAGGATTTGGAAAGGGAGTTGAAACAGTTGGACAATGAGCTGAAACTGACCCGTAGTGATAGCGATGAAAAACATGGACTGGTCAGCGATCTGAGGCAACAAGTGGCCGATTTGAAGCAACGATTTCAGGCCGAAGCCAAAGATCAGGAGATGCACAAAGGTATGTGTATGTGTATGTGTATGTGTATGTGTATGTGTATGTGTATGTGTATGTGTATGTGTATGTGTATGTGTATGTGTATGTGTATGTGTATGTGTATGTGTATGTGTATGTGTATGTGTATGTGTATGTGTATGTGTATGTGTATGTGTATGTGTATGTGTATGTGTATGTGTATGTGTATGTGTATGTGTATGTGTATGTGTATGTGTATGTGTATGTGTATGTGTATGTGTATGTGTATGTGTATGTGTGTGTATGTGTATGTGTATGTGTATGTGTATATGTGTGTATGTGTATGTGTATGTGTATGTGTGTGTATATATGTGTATATATGTGTAATACAGCTAAATTAATAGTATACCATTTGGACCGGTAGTCAAATAACTCATATATACACATATATACACATTGTGTATATATGTGTATATATGAGTTAGTTGACTACCGGTCCAAATAGTATACTATTAATTTGATCTATCTATAGCTGTTTGTATGTGTTATTATGTTTTTTGTGGTCTACACACACACACACACACACACACACACACACACACACACACATACACACACATTGAAAAAACACCCGATTTCTAACCCACCCTCCCCTATATATATATATATATATCTAACCTCCCCCATAGAAACTATGTCAGCATTATATACACCCATACCTTAACACAATATAACAATTTTTTAATCAATTTATTGTTATAAAACTATAGGTACACTAGAATATCGACTACAGGAAGTGGAAAAGGAGCTAAAACTAAGGGAACAGGAGCTACAATCGGTCAAACAGGAATACCGTGATCTGAAAGATCAGAAATTTGAACTCGAGTTGGAACGGGACCGGTATCGGCGGGACGGGGAACGGCTGGAAAAGTCAACCGTCGATAAACAGTCGATTATCGATACGTTGCGTACGGATTTGGATAAAATGCGCCACGAGTTTGATACGTACCGGTGCTCGTTGGAGAAGCAATTGGAGGAAACTGTACAGACTAGCGATGAGCTCAGGGAGTTGGGCACGGATTTGACTAAACAAAGGGAACAATGCAAAGAGGTTGAGGATGAAAATCAGTCGCTCAAAGATGATAACCGACATCTGAAACAAAAGGTCGAAGAGCTCAGGGATGATATCGAAGGTATGGTTTGTTTGTTTGTTTTTTTTAAGTACCGATAGATATATATATATATAAGTAGTAGATAAAGGTGCTGATTGACCTTTGGACCCTTGACCTTTACATGTACATGGTACTGCGCATAAATGACGTCCATTAATTCAATGGGTCTCACACATAAAACGTTGCAATATTTTTTGCCCCCTATCGCGGGTACTCACATAAATTACGACCCAAAAATTATCGCCCCCTATTTCGGGTACTTACATAAAAAACGTAAAATTTTTCGCCCCCCTTTTAAAATATCTAACGTACCACGTGACCATTTCGATAACCACGTGGTATAACCATCGCGCGATAATTGAATTAAATTTAATTAAATACAACTAAATTAAATTTAATTTAGTTGTATTTAATTTCGTTGAATTTAATTTTGTTGATTTTAATTTAGTTGTATTTAATTTCGTTGAATTTAATTTTGTTGATTTTAATTTAGTTGTATTTAATTTTGTTGAATTTAATTTTATTTAAATTCAGTTTATTAAATTTCAAATAATTTAATAAATAATTTAATATACAATTAGGATTTCATATAAATAAATAATGTAAACATTGGTTTATTTACATTTATACAATGGTTTGTTTACATGTAACCATTGGTTTGTTTACATGTAAACATTGGTTTGTTTACATCTATTCAATGGTTTGTTTACATCTAAACACTTGATTGTTTACATCTATTCAATGGTTTGTTTACATCTAAACACTTGTTTGTTTACATGCAAAAAATAAATAAATTTTACATTTTTTAAAAACTAATAAATTAAATAATCTAAATAAAATGTATAAAATAAATCATTCAATTCAGATAATGATTTAACACCAGTAAAATTAACTTTACCCGTACGGGAGATGTTTGCTTTTTTCTTGTCACCGTAGTTAATGATCAATAATGGAAACCTCTGAGGTTGATAATAGGCCCGAATACCAATAAATGATCCATAGTCCGCCAGATTTATTGATCGGTTAAGTGCAAAAGTAGCCACCATATTAGTTACCGTAACATTGTTTAGTTGGACATCAAAACCGAGCTTTTGAATCATACGCGCAAATCTTCTTATGGCTATTCTACCGTTATCAACTGAATTAGTCCCAATACATATTAATTTTCCCGATTGATATAACATAATTGTTGCCTTTGGTTTTCTTAAGCGCACAATTAAGCGAACAAATTTTTTATTATCATACACACAATTATTCAAACAATTTGTAATTTTTCGTAAATTCAATACTTTATTAAAATTAAACAAATTAGCAGTCATAGATACATTAGTAATTTGTAAATCATTATTTGTTAACATTTTTATTCATAAGAATATTAAGACTACTGCTAAGAGGTAAACTTGTTGGACGTTTGATGGGCATAGGGTGAATACCACATACGTCATTCCCAGTGTTTTCTGTAGACGCAATACCTGTGCTGGTTGAAACCGGAATTTCAGGCCAAGACCACACTTCATCGAAATAGCTTTTAGTTTTAATTCCAGGTGGCGTTGGAAGAAGCGATCGTGTATTTTGCTGATGATTGACAAATTTTGATGTTTTATCCGCGATGTCGTCAATTTGTTTAAGAATATTGTCTTTTTCGTTAAACAGTAGTTCCAGCTCTTTATATCGCAAATTCACCAAATTATTTTTGCTGTAGTTGCGGTGAAAAATTGATACACTATTGTTGTGATTGTCTGTAACAAATTGAAGTGAGCCAAAGGACACATTGACGGTACCAACTTTTTTCTCTTTAAACACAATTTCTCGTATAAGATTAAAAAAGTCGTCGGATTGAATTACCAGCAGATCATCAAACATTTTACCATCTTTTAGGTCGGTTATGATAATATAAAAAAGTGTTGAATTCAAATGTAAAACACATTTTACTGATACTACTCTTTTGAAATTATTAGTAGTACTAAGAGTTAGAAAAAAACCAGAAACTTCTGTGTGAGACATTTTCAATGGTAAAATAAAAGTTAACTACTGTATTTATATACAAAGTAAATAAATGTTGATGTAATTAAAACTTATTTTTATTGGTTATAAATACAATGATATATGCATTTATTATGTTAACTCAATAGTGATTGGTTCTGATTCCAAGTCCATTGACTCTTCAGGTACTATTTCCTGAATAGGTGTAATCGTTGACTCAATAGCTACAAATTTATTCCATATCCAAGGTTTTAATTTAATTATGTGTTTAATATCCATTCTAGTTAGTATCATTGCAGCTATTTTCAGTTGTTTTTGATAAAGTATTGTCAGTTTTAAATATGGGTCTCTAGTGATGTATAGCTCATTATTTTTCTCATTACGATAACCACTATTTCGTTGTTTTAGTTTTCCCACGAGCCATAAATATTGATCTAATTTTAGACAAACACTCAATAATGGTCTATAACTAGGGCTATGCTGAGTTATTTTAATTAATTGTATTACACTATTTTTATTTTTAACAGCAACTAATTTAATGACTTTAGCGTAGCCATCACAACCGGGAATTATTTTAGTGCTCATTATAGTACTATTATACTTGATGAGAGATATACTACATCAACATTAATTAGTCTTATATAGTAGTTAAAAATAAATAACAGTATATAAGTAGCATTATATATAAGACTGTAAAAGTAAAAGTCAAAAGCAATACAAATAACAATCAAAATGTCTACAAGTATTGTTGATACGCCTAAAAGAGTTTTTAACTATGAGCACGTTTACACTCATATTATTACAAATAAAAAATCTAATTTCAAAAAAGTTATTCGATTGAGTAAATCAGAAGACCAAATGCGTGTGGATATACGACTGGCTTTTGCTAATGAAGATGAGAAATTACAATATACGAAACGCGGTGTTAACTTAAATGTGGACGAGTTTCGTCATCTAATTGAAGATATTAAAGCAAAAGGGATTGATGGCAATATTGAAGACATTGGAGATATTGATAGGACTATTAAGTTCAAGAAAGATGATAAAGGTTTTTACAACATTATTGTTGTAAAATGCCTCTTAACATATGCTAGTGTTAGTTTGACGTCATATGAGATCAAAAATATAATTATACTTAATGATGAAATATTTAAAATGTATACTAATAATTAAATAAAGAGATTTAAATTTCATCAATGTTTATTTTATTGAGTTTCACTGTCATAAAAGCAAATGTGTTTTTCAAGTAAGTGTTTAGTTGCTTTAAAATGACTAAAGTGTATGGTCGCGATAGTTTTGATCGTTATGGTGACGACTTGTGTGGACTAATAATAAAACACTTACCTGCAAAAAGTAAAGTTACTTTACTTACTGTTAGTAAACAATGGCAACGAATGATATTTACAAATCAACAAACACTCAGAATTGCTGAGTTTGATGATGAATGGGATGTAGACCACAATAGTATAAGTCTTTGGTCAGATGGTTATCGAGAATCATTACAAAAAGTATCACAAGATTTCAAGCAAATCAAACTATTGGAATTTGATGTGTTTTATCGATTTAATGAGACGTTTTTTAATTCGTTTCGTCATTTGAAGCAAATTAATATTTATACGGCCGTTCAATGCTTAGCAATAGAGAATGTTCGGGGGATACTTCGTCAAAACTTTCCAGAACGGATAAAAGCTATACGTTATATGAACACAATTAATTTCAAGAATATGAATCAGTTTATTGAGTTTATTAATAAATTCGGTTCTAAAGCCATTGAATTACACGTAGGTGGATCAGTTGATAGAAATACTGTATGTAACCATTTGGCGACTCTACCTCAACTAAAAGTTCTCAGTGTGGATCAAAAGTTATGTCAAGGAAATTGGAAGTCAATTATAAATAATCAAAATATCACTAATTTAAGATTGAATTTTGTCGACTTTTACAACGCCATAGAACTGTACAATGTTATGCCTACTACACCAAATAAAATTCAGTTTACATTAAATTCATCACACAATATTGAGATGTATGACGATTATAAGATGGTTCGGTACTCATTGAAAATGCTTTTCATAAAAGGACACTTCTTGTCACCGTTTGATTTTGTCAACTCAGGATTCAAATGTCTTTATGTTAGAAAATTTAAATTATTTATTGCTCACAGAATGCTAGAGCCGTTTTGTATAAATATATTTAAGACAAAAATGATGGATATTTGTGAAACCGTTATACTCAACACAAGTATAAACATATATTTAAATGTTGACAAATATCTAAAGCCGCTAATAATGAAACCAAATATAACCACATACGTTTTAATGGAATACGGGTTTAATCAACGATTATTTGATTTATTGGTACTTAAAGCTGAGACTTACCCCGACAAAACAATTACTGTATCAATGTTTGGACCTCCATTGAATAAATACTGTAAAAATAATTTAATTATATATACTTATACTAAATTAATTAAAGACAATATTGTAATTACATAAATAAATTTATTGAATAAAAAAATTAATGTGATTGATAATAATTATTTAGCCATTTCCATAATAAATTGCATTTATTTGAAGCGCAGCGCAGGAGTTTTCGATCGGGAACAATTCTATTGTGAAAATGACACGGGAGACCACCATAAAATTGTTTAAGTTTTGAATAGTTGGGACATTTGTATTCATTGAGATTAATATACGGTATTTTCCATAAGTCCAATATAATTGCCAATTGTTGGTTTTTTATGGCCAAATATGGTTTATCGTGTGATTTAATTTTATGATACATCATATATATCACTTGATTAGGTTCGAGAGATGAGTTGTGAGTGATATCGGTGTTGTGGGCTCTCAATGAAAAGCCAAACAGATTGTTAGCCAAATATAAATTAGTTATACGGTCTTTAAGGTCCATATCAACAAAGCGAAGGTCTGTGTCACACAGTTCACACTGTTTAAGTGTATGTGATAACACACATACTTCCCGCGGATAAAACACGCCATCAACAGTGAAACCCTGTGCATCCATAACACCGCATATTT